GAGGGAACTTTGACATTCTTGACATTTTCTGAACTGAGTGCTACTTTGGAAAAAAAGAAAAGAATTGCTGTTCCACCTTATTGCAAGTTCTAGGATGGAACATAGGAAATAAAATGCCTGATGCAAATCCAATGTAATATTTAAAAAATCCACATTGAGGAGCCTGGCTTCAGCATGAAGAAAACATTTCTTCTCACTATTGGAGAAATGGCAAAAGCATGAGGTGCACCACTGGTGCACCTCATGCTTTCCCAATCAGGCCTGGCCCCAAATAAAACTTAAAAGTGGAGGGGTTAATTCCTGAGGGTGGATTTTTGAACAGAGAACAATCTGATATTGCAGCTTTATTCTGGAGTAAACACATATTTCCTGGAAATAAAGCAGCATTATCAGATAGTTAACTGTTCAAAATCTACCCTGAATGTGCAAATGTAAATGTATATATAGATATTGGTATTGGTTCTTTTCCAATATCGGAATTATCAGTATATCGGATATTGGCCAAAATTCTATATCGTTGCATCTCTAATCATTATTAAAGATGATGGGTGACTATACACTACATTATTACACTCCACAGGAAAACATGTAATTGGTTTTGTTACATGTTGCTGGTAGAAGACAAAGAGAGGCTTTTGAAGAATTTCTCCAATTTGAACATTCAGTGACACATGAGTACATACTTTTGTTACACCCTGCATGTATATATTATCTATTTGTTTGTCATTCTTGTACTCTTTTATGTTGTATGGATGACTTAGGTTTTTCCCCTTATTGCATTATGCAGAATGAATGCCTGAAGTATGGTTTTTATTTATTCCCTGTATGTTTCTCTCTGTGATCATTGCAGAAGAGTGGGATAGTGGGAAGGTGTCAACACAGCGAGGTGACTGGCTACACCTGCACAAGGACAGGCAGCATGCAGAGGAATGCCTCTTGGGTCAAGGGCAAGATGGAGACTTCCTACTCAGGCGGAGTACTCGCAAGAGAATCAGCTATGTCCTCTGTCTCCTTGCTGGTGGGCACGTCTACCACTTCGAGATACAACGACAGGTGATTTGTGGCCTTATTTTCTTTCACTTATTTCTGTGACATCCACACAAGACACTTGTCATTCTTGTATTGTTGTTGTGCAGAACTGATTTCCCTTGTAGGGCATTATCTTGGCTGGTTATAAAGGTATAGACTCATATTACAAGATAAGCCTAATTTTGAAGTGTTAAAAAGGAAAAGAATCAAATTACTCAAAAATTACATAGAATTCCCTGAGTGTAAAATGTTCCAGCTGCATTTTGAAAATGAGCTGAGTTTGTGGACTGTGTTCCCTGACAGGGACGCTTCTATTACATTGATGATGGTCCACTGATGGAGAGCCTTGAGAGGCTGGTGGAGCACTACATGCGCTGGCCTGATGGACTCCCCCTGCTGCTCAACACTCCCATCCCACCATCGAAGGATGAGGCTCCAGCTGCCATCCCTTCTCCACCACCACTTCCACAGGTCTTGCATCTCTCTGTTCCTGCAGACCATGCCATTCTGATTTGCATTGCAGGACCCTAGCCTGTAGGACTGGTATGTAAAAGTTCAGTTGATGATGTGGCTAGAAGAAATAGGTATGATATGATTGCATGATGTTAAAGTTCTCAAATGAAGCAGGTTTTTATGGCAGATTCCTAATATGGTTTATAAAGCATACTGGTACAGTCAACCCGTGACATAGCACCACCCAATTTACTGCCACTCTCGCTTAGTGCCAAATCTTTCCTGAGAACAAATCTTCCCCATAGGCTAATCATTGGCACTCCCCCATTATAGCACCACCCTCGCAAGCCGCCATCCGCCAATACCTTGCCTTGCACAAACGCGCTGTATTCAACTTAAGTCGTACTCGATATAGCACCAAGCAGCATCCCGTACCAGCTACAATGATTATACCATGCACCACTGTGGTGGAAAAAAATGACATGGTGTTAGCCTTTCCTTTTGACCATTTGATAATGAGATTGTGAGGGAAGACTTAGCTTTGGCACGGATGTCAGGGATTAGGGGGGCATAAGGAGCCTCTTAATCTGACCTAATCCTGCTTCTCCTTTTCTTTCTTATAGAAACGCCTCTTTCAGTTCAAAGTTTCTCCAGGTGATTGTTCAAGTGTGTTCATTATCCAGTAATGGAGGAAAGGACAGTTACAAGTGTGAGAGAAAAAGTGCAAGTGTGTCGTTACAAGGAGGCGCTTGCAGCCGAAAGTCAGCAAAACATTGCTAATTATTTTTCAAATCTGTGTAGTTTTTTTTCTCCATTGGCAGTATGGATGAATAGAAGTGGATTTTTTTTCTGCTAATTCTATTTTACATTTGAGTTATTTCAGAAATGTTCAGTTTTCGATATAGTGCCAAAATCAGCGAAGACCAACAGTGGCGGTATATTGAGAGTTGAATGTATATTGCTTTGGTATGTACCCAGTGGAAAGTACCTACAAGAACAGGTAGGTAAAGTACCTACAACTGCCAAATATGTAGTTTTTGCTCTCTGCTCCTCTAGTCCAGAATGGCAACCCCTACACAGTACATGCTAACTGTGTCCTACTACTTTTATGGATAGGCTGGTCTAGGAGGAAGTATCATGTGCATCATCATTCTTTTTGCCTTGAAAAATACTATTACTTTATTTAAGTGTTTGTGCAGCAAGTAAGCACTTTCATTTGCACAAATAAAGCTTTTATGAACTAATTCTCTAAGTCCCTGGAGTTGGGCTGCAGCAAGTATGAAGTAAAAGGAAATGAATTCCAGTAATTACTGCCAATTTCTTAGACAAATCTAATTTTAAGTCTGTCATCATTTCCAGTACAGGATAAGTATTTTCTTGAGAGACAGAAATTGACCATTGCTAGTAAATAGCAACAGGATTTTCAACCTTTCAGGTAATGATTTCACTTTCCCTTGCAGCTGAATTCACCAAAAAACAGGAAGTGGAGGCCTGCCACGAATGGAGAGCAGGAGAGTGTGGACGCTTCACTTATACATGTCTCTGGAAATGGTGACACTTGGAGGACACTTCCACGTGTGGGCTACGTAGCCAGTGAGAATCTTGTTCTGGGTGAGACCCTCGGGGAAGGGGAGTTTGGCTCCGTCCGCAAGGCCATCTGGAGTACACCTGATGGTCGCAAGGCAAGGTCCCATTTCCCTTGTTCTTACCCAGTAGCTGAAGAGTTAAAAATCATGGTTTGATCAATGGTGTTTTTCTACCCCTGTTGTCATGGACATCAGCATTAGGGTAGAATCTGCTCCTTCAGTAATACCTGTGTACTAGGAGTAACTTGGTGAACCCTCATAATGTGGGAAAAATAATTTCCCATCAGACCTGCATTGAACTTGCATACGAATTTCTCAATAGCCCATACATTTCCCTCATTCTAATATATTCTTTGGTCTCATGGTCCAAAGAATTATGCCTGTGAATCAGAGGTGGATGGTGTTCCATAGACAAGGCTGCCACTACAATGTAGTTTGAATATGTTTAGGTGGAGGTGGCCGTGAAGTTGCCGCATGAGGAGAGGAAGCACATCCAGGATGAGTTCATCCAAGAAGCTAAGCTCATGATGAGCCTCAATCATCCCTATATTGTCCGCCTCGTTGGAATATCCACTCACCCTCGGCTCATGCTTGTCAGTTTCTTCCTTTCTTTTAAACACAGGGTTTTTGAATGATATTGCACAGGGGAAAATGCATTCTTTTTTACCATTGATAGATGAACAAGTGACTGTGAAAAGATAGGTTGCTCCAAATGTGAATACATAATTTCATTTTCAATTTTGTCATGTTCATATGCACCCAATTCCTGGGACTCTTTTCATTGCCTTCTCATGTGTATTCTAAATGCAGGTTGTATGTAATTCTATGTTCTGTTTCATATGTTCCTCACCTGTTGAGCTATTAGTTTGTCTTGTGACTTTTATATGCAGGGTGTGTCTATTAAAGAATGAAGCAATTTAAAAAAATTAATAACTTTTAAATGGTTTCTCATAAAACAATAAAGATTGAAAGATAAAGAATCTCTGGAAGTTCTCTTCCAGACTGCTAACAAATGAACTGTTAGGACCTCCATGCCATCTCTTGAGAAATTTTGTAATGTCTTGGAAAGTGCAAGCTCTGTATAAATAATTGGGAGAGTGCACATTTCTGTGCACTCTGTGGGCTGTTGCTTGCAAAAATTGACTGCCACACAAATGCAGCACAAGTTTTCATGAGTTCGCAAGGAAAGCCCACCTTCACACAATGCCATCACTAAGTGGTACAAATAATTTGAAGAAACTAGCAACGTCGATAAAGGAAAGTTTGCTGTCTATCTGAGCATAGCAGATGCAGATTCTTCAAATCGTTTATACCAACTTTTGATGGCATTCCATGAACATGGTTTCTCTTTATGAACTAACCGAAACTCACTCTGCACTTGTGTGGAAAAGTACATTTTTGTTAACTGCAATACTCAGAGCCTTTTGCTGCAATGTTGCCATTGTTTATGCTGAGTGCATGTTTTTGGAGAAACTCAAAACTTCTCAAGAGATGGCATGGAGGTGCCAAAGTTTGCTTTTTAGCAGTCAGGGAAACAACTTCCACAGTTTCTGTCTTTCAGTCCTTATTTAATTGTTTTAGAAGTAACCACAATTTATCAAAATTTAAAATAAATTGTGATTACTTCTAAAACAATGAAATATCAAAATTTCAAATATTGCTTCATTCTTTTATGGACACCCTGTATTTACCTATTTATGGAAAAACCTTAAATAAATACCTGTACCTTGTACAGTTAAGCAATGGTTCCATTTTCATCATTCCTTTCCTGTCTGCACATCAAGGAACATCTTGCTATGACATGCTATGCTAAGACACATCTTGCAATAAGCAGATATAATGAGATTTTCAGAAAGTAAGGAAATTTTGTAAAGCTAGAAGTCATGGTAAAATAAGGTCTTTCTGCCCTTGAATCTTTAAAAAGAAAGAGCTGGGGATTTTGTCTCATAAATGATGAAGGTAATTGGGAAGGTATTTTTGGAGCAGGTCAACATTAATCTACCTACTTACACTGCTAAAGTCCCCTCTCTGTGCATCACCTGCCATTCTTATTGTGAAATGTTCTGTGGCTTTAGCGTTAAGCATAAATTGTTGAGCATTTCCAAGCAAAATTTTCACAAGAAATAATAACACCCAGATCTCAGTCTAAAAATTATTGCCCAAATTTTATTGCATGTCTTCCCATGAACAAAAAAATCTTTGGAATGGCTAACTCTGGCAAAAAACATGTTATGCCAATGATTTTGACTTCACCCAAAACTAGACCCTTCTATGAAGACACTATTATTTGTTCAGTTTGTATACTAAGCCTCTCTTCAGGCCTATGCTATATTCAATTGCCAAACATTGCTTTTTTAATATTAATTTTGAAACATCCATGCATTCAATGAGGTGAGCCCCTCTCACTTACATGCAGCATGGCTGTGCTTGCAAAGTGAGTGATGAGACGGATGTTATGGATGCTTTAAGGAGAGGTGGATCCTGTTTTGCAGGTGCAAGAGTTGGTGAGCATGGGCTCCTTGCTGGACATCCTGCATACACAGGCAAAGGCAGTAAAATCCCATTACCACTTCAAGCTGTGGGCTGCTCAGGTCATTCGAGGTAAGCTGCTTCTCCTCCACTTCTGCATATGTGCAGAATCCTGTCTTAATATCATAGATGCACTCTTGAGAGCTTTGCATGTGAAAGCACCTTTGTACTGCAGTGCCAGTGCAATTAAAGATGAGGTACTGGTATATAGCAAAAATGTCCCTAATTCATGGCAATCCTTTTGACTGGGCCCATTCTAATTGATTGTAAATGATGACATTATTTTTTACCTGAGCTTTTCATTTTTAAAGAAGACCTCAAGGTGGTATATGGTTTTGATGCAGGGATGATGTACTTGGAAGAGAAGCGCTATGTGCACCGTGACTTAGCCTGTCGCAATCTCCTCCTCGCATCTTGGGACCATGTCAAAGTTGGGGACTTTGGCCACTCACGGGCACTTGGCACCAACAAAGACTACTACCGCGCTCAACGGGGTGGACGCTGGCCTGTTAAATGGTAACTGATTTGTGCAAGGTTATTTCAAATGTGTTGAGGGGAACGATTTTCCCAAATTTCTATATGACCATCAGGCTGCATATCTGAAGAATTTCCATTTCGGCATGCAGTTGCATAATATTTCTCATAGAAGAAAGTCTCAGCTTTGTTCTAATCCAGGAGTCCTTTAACACTTAGTTTGATGTGGCCATGTCTACTACTTGCAAAATTGCTGTACAGCACTAAAAGGGTTAACCTTAAATTCTCATATGGAGCCCTGTTTTTCATTCTTCAAGATATGATATAATAAGATGAAGTTCTCCACATGAATTTGAATTAGGATCATTCAAAATTTTTTTCTATTTCCCCTTCATAGCACCTGTTGAACTAGTATATGTAGATGTCCATGCTCTCCTTATAGGTATGCCCCAGAAGCTGTAAATTTCAGTCACTTCTCGCTCAAAAGTGACATTTGGAGCTTTGGAGTCACTCTATGGGAGATCTACACCTTTGGAGAACACCCATATGGAGAACTCCGAGGATCTCAGGTTACTTGTTGCTCCATCTCTGTCATTTGATTGGGGAAGCTGCATTTCTGTTTCTCATGTCCTTCTGATGTAGGTGTTGGAATTAGTAGAACGAGGGGAAAGGCTGAAGAAGCCTGATCTCTGCCCTCAGTTCATCTACGACCTGATGCTGCGGTGTTGGACATATGAGGCAGAGGAGCGCCCTTCATTTGCCCAACTCAACCTCCTCTTTTCTGAGGACACAGAGTATGCCAATGTCTCCTCTTGAAAGTGTGTGAATTGGAAGCACGAGCAATATTTTCTGTTGAGTTTGCACTCGTGTGTTCTCCTTTCTATGGGTATAATAATGTTGACCAATTTTTGCTTGATCACCCAGCTTAGTTACACCTACTGTATGTGTGATAGCATATTAAGTCAGAACCAAAGTGCATTAGCATGCAACACAATACAAATTTAGGATTTTGATCATCTTGATGGTTTTTCTAGCCAGGAATTACTTAGGGGCCTTGCTTGCTGCTAGTTATTGATGATACCTGATGATATTTTTCATGTCTGGAACTGTGAGAGTAAGAATGCCATTCAAAAACATATGATCTCACGTGCAAGTCACAGATGGTCACGCTTTCTCCGATCGTCACTTTCACCTGAAGCTTCCATTTGTCTTTTTTACTGTCATTTTTCAAAGTACATTCTCGAAAGGGTGGAAGGGAATTATTTGTTAGGAAAAAACAACATTCCTGTAAGAGATGGATGGGGATTGTGATAATCAGACAATTCCCAGCCAGGCATAGATATGTGGAGAAATCCTGATCTCTTAACTTAGGTAAAAAAAAGTGTGATGTCTGTTGCTCATTTGAGTTTAGATCCCATGCATGTAATGGGGGAAAGACTTGAGAATGTATAGAACTGGAACTGGTAACCCTACATGATAGCTTGCAAAAGGGCCACAGCAGTACATGTGCCTTATTCTACATTGCGTATCCTAGGCGTAACCATTTTGACCAGTTTGAGCAATATCTGCATGTAAGTGGAGCTAAGGCATCAAACCAAGTCAATTTAAAGTGAAAGATAAATAGCTGGAAAAAAACGTTGCTATATAGGAAACATGGCTGCTGTTGGTAATAACCACCAGACCCGGTGACATGGAATTCCACTATTTTAGATCTCTATTCTTATAGTTATGTGGTATGTTCCTTTCAGTTATCTAAAGTACTTGACCTGTTGCTGTGCACATTGGCACCTGTGTGAGAGCAGTTGCACCTTGAAGGAAACCTTCTTGCTTCTTCTCCTTTAATCTTTCTCTATTCTCATGGCTGTTGATGCCCCCATGACATTGGAAAAAATAAGAGCATGGCTTGATGATGTTCAAGAACTTCATCTAAAGATGCCTGGGTACAAGAGGAATATTGTACCTTTTTAGCTACTTGGTACCTACCATGGATAGAAGGTCCAATGAGAAACTTATTCTACTAGTTTTACTATCCGTTGATTGCCTGTGAAGGAAATCCAAAAGATATTGATTGACAGAAAATATTGCAGGAGAATGACTCCAGTCCTCTCCATGTTTTACTAATGTGAATGTTCTATGGTCATGTGGGATAAGTCTGAGCCAGAATTAATTTCTACCTGCCTGCACTTGATATAGTCACCCACAATAGTCATGGTCTTGCTGGCAAGGAATTGAAATTATCTACATACTGTCAAATAGGTTTTTTTTTTTTAATCTTTGTCATGGATGGTAGGAAGCTGTTCATTGTGATTGGAAGATTTCTGTACATGTGTTTGTCTATAAATTACTACTATGTTAGTTGATATTCAAGCCCCAAATTGAGTTTTGACTGTATCCCATTTTTAAATATTCAGATGGAAGGATCTGGTTCAAATTCAATTCAGGTTTCCATACATCGTGCATCTAAAATGATCCAATGTGAATGAGTTGAGATGTTTCAGTGGCTTTAAAACAATGTTTTGGGGTCTTGAACCTTGAGCCATATTGCTTCCTATTTTTTTGTTGTTTAATAATGTTGTTTAATATACTCTTATCTTTGCAATGATGATCCATGGAATTGTTGATGAGTGATCTAAGTGATCAGATGAGAAAAAGGAATAAGCATGGAGTTCCCAGGATAAGCAGAAATTGAGAATAATGCAGAGGGTCAGTATCAACATTTAGATTGCAATATTTTGTGACTGAGGATTTGCTTAGCAGTGGGAATTATGGAATGCAGGATAGTCAAGTTATTCCTATCATCATATATATATTTAGAGGACTTCCATTTACTTTTCAAGGTACAAATTAGGCAAAAAATAATTAATTTGTTACAGTGCCACCCTGCCTAATGTTTCAATGCCACAGTGATGGTGCTTAGTTGAAAGCTGAGTATTCTGATTTATTACCTTGTCCAGTATTTCAGTTCCACTTTTTGTGGTACAATGATTTTTGTGCCTTATTTCCACAAGTTTCCCTTCTCGTTTCTCATTTTCATGTCCATTCAGTGCCTCATGGATAAAATGTGGGGCAATGGGAAAATCAGACTGACAAAACATACCATATTCAGTCTCTTATATCCAGCTGTCTTAAGTGTCTTCTGTTCATTTGCTTTGGAATACAGCAATGTGTGAATTTGATCCATTTGTGTCAATTTACCACAACTTGGATCATTCCTGTGGAAGTTCCATTGTCTGCCTAGGTTTCCTTGTCCCCAAAAAATCAAATGTGTATCCCTGGTGCTAGAACGCTGTTGCTCAGTATGATCATGTGCCTCACGTGTGAATCTCGTATTGTTGTGTCACGACCAGAAATGAAACGTCTATTTTCATCTTCAAACACTGTTGATTTCCTCTCTGCAAATTGCTTTATTCACATTTGCTATCGAGAAAACTGGAGATTTGTGTTTGATTTCCACACTAGGTTGATGAATTGTGATTTTTGTGCACAAAAACCAGCTAAAATGTTGGGGAATCTGTGTCAAACCATGGTGCAGAAAATAAGTGATGTCACGGTTATGGCAAAACTGAAAATTGTCCGTAAATAGGTGACTGTCTGTGAATGAGTGACCATACACTATAACAGCAGTTCCAAACTTTGGGGTTGCAAAACTGTCTGTCTACAGTGTGTTTGTATTTAAATGCAACTTAGGGAAGTTTTTGCCACCTGTTTGTGGAGTTCTGGGCCTGCCTTTTAGCTGACTGGGTTGCATATCTGGAAGGCTGATACCTATCTCTGGTGTGTAGTATCTGTGCAAATATGCAACCCGGTGGGCCATATAACATTCGCCGACCTCCGCCTACAGGCATCAAAATATTCCCTATGTTGCGTTTAAATACGAACACCAACATAACAAAAAATCAGTCTAACTGAAATCCTTGACATTGCCCAGCCATAGACACCCATGCTGAAAAATTTGGATATAACTAAATCGGGTATAAAGAAATTCCCGATGTAATGAAAGAATTTCTGTGTTCCCAGATAGAAACTATGCAGGATATATTGAATTTTCCCCCATCCAGAAGGAATAATTTTTTCCCCCCCCCCTCTTGATGGAAGTGCAGAAGAGTCAGCCCTCCTAATGAGAGTCAACTGTACATTTGTCATAATACAATATTTTCAACAGGTGAATTTTTATCTTGTCTGTGCATGACTTGACATTGGGGTTGAAAGAATTTGCTAAAGTATGAATGGGGTCACACTTGGGGAAACAATTGGAAGCCATTGCCAGTAGTCATTGCATTAACAATGATAATGCAAGAATCCAGGAATCTCATTGAAGAAAAAAAAAATTTTTATATCAGCACTTGCTTGGAATTTCTTGCAGCAAATGCTTAGGGATAAGAGAAAAGTTACTTTAGCATGATTATACAAACTCAAAATTATCATAAATGAGAGAAAATTAAAATCCCAAATGGGATGAAGAGCCACCTGAGAGAAAATGAGCCAGCATTATTTCTCAGCATCTTGTGCCTGGAGATATTTCAAATTCAGAGAGAAGAATGTGACAAGTGGGCATATACAGGGTGGCCCAAAAGTCAGGATCCCTATGGATTTCATAGTTGTATTGTAGTAATTGTGATTTATACTTCAATTGAATGGCCACCTTGGTCACTGGGCCTCATGCCACTCAACTTCTTACTGCAGGGGGCATCTAAAGTTGACCCTCTATGATGAACATCCCAGAACCAAAGAATAATTAGAGAGCAAAGTGGTATATCTGCAAAAAATTTTCAGAAAAATGTGTTGCTGGTTTTGTGCTTTTAGGACCTTCTTCCTTTCACAGAAAATTATAGTTTTTGGAATTAAGTAAAGGATAAAGTGATCTATCAATACATACCATTTTTTCTCACTTTAACATTATGGTCACAGGAATATTCACTCATTCTATGTGGAGCTTCAGGATATAAATTTTTGCAGATGAACCACTTTGCCTTTCAGCCCTACAAATAAGAGACAAGTGTCCCAAGATAACTGTTCAAATGTTGAGATGAGCTCAAGCATTAATTGTTAAAAGAATAAAAAATGTTTGGATGCTATTGGCAAACAGGAACCTGAAATCCCAATAGGTCCTGACTTTTGGGCCACCTTGTACACTACAAGTTATCATTGCTACCAGCATATTCTTCAGCAGCAGTAATATCAATAATGTTGACATAGAGATGAGACTTTGGTTTTTAACAAGTTCTTGGAGAAAGAGAATGTTTTCATTGCTCATTTTGGGTTTTCCAACCATTTTATTCCTTTGTTACTCCTTCATATGTTGTTTGCTTGCACTGAAGGGGGTTGTTTTTTGTGCTGATGGTGAAATTGAGAGTGACCATTATTGCAAGTAATGTGCTCAAACATCCAAGGGTCACTCAGAATATGGTATTTGGATAAGCATTCTTCAATGCCATAAAATGTAATCTGAAATTCCACTAGATGATCTTGCAACTGCTTGCTCACTATCTTTGATTCCTGTGAATGGCTTCAATACCTCACATTTCTGGGAGTACCAATAATCATCTCCCATGAGTGCTTTCCTATTCAATTGATGGTAGATGTGGTAGACTAGTGGATATCACAAAAGGCAAGAGGACCTAAGGACTAAAATTTTTTCATTCATTAGATATAAATAAAAGCCAGAGATAAATAACAGTAAATAAAGAAAGAAACCCCGGGATAAGAGAACACTATTGAGCAATGGAGGTTCATGTGCATGGCAGAGGGAGATGACCACAGTTTGTAATGCCAATGTAAATGCTTACTGTATTTTTTAAATTTATTATGATAGCTTGTACAGAGGGCATGTTGATGATGTAATCCCCCACCCAGGACATTTTGTAATTATCCATAAAGAAACAAATCTTAAGCTCCACCCACTTTTCATTCACTGTCTCATTTCCATCCCAGTTCAGATTTCAATAACTCCTTCATATCTTGCAAGTATGGAGCTTCCCAAAATGACTACACATCTAAAGTTAGACAATACTAAAATGCTGAAGGGAGGCAGGTGGTTATTACAGACTTGATCTAGCCCAGAAAAGCGATTGAGACAAATACACTGGGAGCATGTGGAGACATTAGATGGAAGACTAAAAAAAATGGTGCCACTGGTTTGCAGCCATTCTCCTGCTCCCAGTCAAAAGGAGAAAAGGCATATTTTGTATAATACCTTATATACATAATATGGAACAAACCGATACCAAACAATAAGTACATTCCACACTTAGCATTTGGTATGGGTTTCCTTCCAATATCAGTTAAAGGATAGTCAGTATTGGTTAAAGGGTCATCAGTGTTGGATTGTTACATCTCTAACAATTACAAAGAATACAGTTGACAAGGGTAAAGAAAGAGGACATAAAAATGCCATCAATCACAATGAAAAAAATATGCAGGGTGCACTGCAGGCAAGAGGATAGAACAGCACTATCACTGGAACCAAATCATAATGTCAACAAACAGAACTTTTGCAAAATGCATAAAGAAACATACCAAAATGTGCTTTCAAGTGAAAATCATGAATCCAAATCAAACAGGGTATTAGAAAATAAACATAAAAGTGAGCCCAACTGAAATAGTCATCAAATCCAACCATATGCAGGAAGTTGGGAGTTGTGGCCCAGGCATGAGCCACAACTCCCAAGACAAGCTAACAAGATCAATTCTAAGGGCATGGTATACTACCATGCCCTTTAATCATGCAGGATGGAAACTCCATGGGAAGGTTGCAATTACGGATCAGTTAAGGAGCAGTTTGTTTCCAAACCTTTCACCTGTGTATGCAATCATTATTGTCAACTTGGGACAATTATTGCATTTTGTAATTTCATATTCACTGCAAGGTGCACACCTCCCACCATTTTGACTGCAACTTTTATGACAACAGCAAGTGCAATTTCCAAATGTACCTATGTACAAAGTAGTTTTGGCAGTCTGCTGCCATGGCCATTCTGAAAGTGTCGCATAAAAAAAGGCATCCATCATGAAGCCTGCAAATATACCGAAGTTGATGATGGACTGCATTATTTAGAGTATTCAGAGCATGAAACATACCATATATGTTGAGCAAATGTCTTTGCTGAGACAGATAGCAACTTTCACATTTACAATGACAGGTGGTAGTAGTGTCAGGCAGCAAAATGTACCCAGTATACTGTATTTTACAACTTATGCAAAAGGATACATCAATTTAATAAATTATACCTTGTATATTTTCTCTTATCAACTATGATATATGATTAACTCTGTATGTTGAGGCACCTTTTGACAGCATACCATTCAAGATTCATTTGATCTACTGGATTGTTTACCTGGTTCAGAAAATGAGAGAGAAGCTGCTTTAAACATCAAAATATGAAAATATTCTCATTTTTTATCTCTCTCTGTTGCCTATAGTGTGTGGTGTTGCTGCACATACACATATTCTTAGTTGGTGCATTGCAACTTGCCAGTATTGCCAAAGATTAGGTGGGTGAGGAGAAGTTACCAACCCAAACCAACTTGTTAGGAAGGGAATGGCAACTAGTGAACTTTTTTTAAAGAAATTTAAGTGGATTTCCTTGCTAGTATGATGGTAGGGTTGAGAGAGAATAGGATTGCCATGAGCACCTACACCAGTAACACATTTCTCTCTCATGGCACTTGCATTTAATTGTTCTAGCATGCCTTCTACGTCATAGTTGATTAATAGCTAGTTCTCCATAAGCACAGACCCAATTCACTGAGCATTTATCTGCTCACGTTCCGTACTTGGGGTCTTCCAGAAATCCTCTTCCATATCCTGTGGCTTTTTTTCAACATCCATCCAGTATTGATGGACCTGCTCCTTTTCTAGGAGATTCATTTCCTTAATCAGATCTTCTGTTAACGTTTCTTGGTGGCACATGGCTAGCATGATTAGATGCACCTTAGGGCAGGGACAACATTCTTTTCAGGAAGGTGTGTAGGTTGAGTCAGCCAGCACATATCATCTATGGTCCTGCCACAAGAACGCAAGCTCATTCACCAAGTGGGCAATGTCGGAATAGAGGAAGCCAACTCTACTCTGCCCTTCTGTGACTCTCTGTGATTCATTGTTCGACTTACAAAAAAACCATGCTATGATGTAATAAAGTGCTTCTTTCTTTCAAATCCAATCAACTTGGTGCATGATGAAAATCTGTCTTAGTGGACGCAGGGGCTTCGTCATAGAAATTTTGCACTTTGCAAGGTGAGGGGCAATCATCGAAGAAACAACAAACGGTGGTCATCATACTGGAAACATCGTCTGGAAAATTAACACGTTGACTGGATGTTTATTCTGGATAATGGACTCTATTGTATTGCCGGATATTTTTCTCCACGTGGGGATAAA